ATTTTAATCCGAAAAAAAAAAATTAATTGAAATATGGCCGAATGAATATTTCCGTTTAAGTTAAATAAATTAATTAGTATTGTATTATTAATTTATATCGACTCCATCAGTCCAGTAGCAGTTCCTACAATTAATCCAATTCAAATTATACTCGTAAATGCGAAACATAGTGACAATGGATGGATGTTTGTTACTGCAAATGTCACACAAGAATTACGGAAAGGATTTGGTTGAAACTTAACAATGTACATCAGATGCTTTTACATTAGACATGGACTAAAATACAGTACGACTAAGGGACAACAGGCACGCGGATTGTTTCAAGAAATGCACGTGATGCATAAAATTAGCGATTATCACCCACAGCTGAATTTCTATAAGTTTATTAGTTGCAAGCTTTTTTTTACCGAATGTTTTTCACGTTTTAAAATATAAATATTGACTTAGTGTCGTCATAACTAGGAATAAGATCAGCCCCAAAGGCAGCTGGCTGCAGTAAACAAAGCGCAGGCTACCGTAGGTACTTGTCGAACGCGCTGAAAAGTTCCACGTGAAACTTGATGCATAGAATTAGCCTGCAGAGTTTTTGCCAGGTGTTCTCAGGGGATCGCGATCTCGATCCGGCGGTAGTTACACTCACTCAGCAGCTCCCCTTGAGTAGTTAGGTTTTCTCTAGTCGGGCAGCTGCTACCACTACTTCCCTTTTTGGCTGAGCCCTTGAGCTGACCTTGAGGTCACCAGTCCTGGCAAAGCTGGAGAGGACATCGGGTCACCAGATTTTATCCTTAAAAAAGCAGCCTCAGAGCAGCAGTACTTGTAAATTTTTTAGGTAAAACATTCACGAAATAGGGACGGAACATGTGGCTTGCTATGTTACGCTAGGTATGACTAAACTAGTCAGATTTTCACATGAATTTTTTATTAGGTTTTCACTATTCTGTAAACAACTAAGACCGCATTTTTGTTATCAAAGGTATTCTGACTTATCGAGATGAACACTTACATATGTAGTATTTGAGGTCGCGCAATCTGTAATGCTCAGATAAAATCTTGTTTGATATTCTTTCGTTTGATTTATTGGTTATTTTGGCTGTTTAAATTAATTCCCGAATGTTGAACAACTTTTAGCGTAGAAAATTGTGAATGAAAAATTATTTTTTTATGATATATTTTCATTTAAATATATGTATTTTTCTTGCGTTACTGTGTTTTTTCTGTCTTTGTTTGTTGGTTGTATGCTTACATCATTATAGGATTATTGTTTTCACATAGCTACGTCAAATAATCGTGTGCTCGTGCAGAGTCACGTGCTGAGCGAAAGGTACGATATACGGTTTCTCATCGTATGTCTTCTTCGGTTTAGAACACGAGTGCTTAGTTGAATTAAAATTGTAGTTGGCAACGTGAACTATGTACATACGTACTTATAATATTATAAATATAACATTATATTTACAACACGTTATCAATACCGAACATAAATCAACAATCGCCCATAAGCCTCTGAATCTATCATAGTATTCTATTTGAGTAGCAACTTGAAAACCATAAAAACTGCCCAGGATTTATCGGCCTTAGTTAAACAAACTAGGGTAGCTTTAAACGGTAGGTTTTCGTGAAACAATAAGCGCTAGGGTACCAAATGATGAGTGATAATGGTAGAAGATGATAGTGAAGCGAATGAGAGATGATGGTGAATTCGTTCACTGGTGGTAGGACCTCTTGTGAGTCCGCACGGGTAGGTACCACCACCCCGCCTATTTCCGCCGTAAGCAGTAATGCGTTTCGGTGCGAAGGTTGGGGTAGCCGTTGTAACTATACTGAGACCTTAGAACTTATATCTCGAGGTGGGTGGCGCATTTACGTCGTAGATGTCTATGGGCTCCAGTAACCACTTAACACCAGGTGGGCTGTGAGCTCGTCCATCCATCTAAGCACTAATAAAAAAAACGTACGTTTTGATAACTCGATTGACAGTCCATCGAATCTTCTGATATCAATCAATATGTACGAAACTTGATATTTAAATGATAAATATTGTATGGCGCATCCTATTATGACGTTAATAGACAAAGTTTGTATTTGTAATTGACACATTGAATGTGCCAATTACAAATGTGAATGAAAGGAATTGATGTGTTTTCGAACTGCTATGTCGTTTTTTTTTTATGATAATCAGTTTCATTTTCAACTGTAGTTTCAAACGCTAAAATCTCGGGCATATGATTACTAGAGTTGAACTTAATCGCGCGTCATCTGAACTATCAACGGTAACTGTTTAGAATTAACGACAATGGGAATATCTTCCTTCAAGCGGGTGATATTGCTCGGTAGACCGACGGTCCGAACATTCGGAACTTTTATGTATGCAAGCTTATCTTGAAAATGTCGTTAGCGAAATTCAAGCATCTGTCAAATTTCTTCTTGTTCTATCATGACTGCTGCCACAACTTTAAGAAGTTTTAAATGAATCGGATAAATCGCGCATACAGACTTGATAAAACAAACAAATATTTTTTATATGAGAGTCGATAAGATTAGATTTGTACCTATTTGATTACTGCATCAGTGCTGTAAGCATACAGGACAGTATCAAGCGCGAGGTCGCGGCAGCGGGACCAGGCAAGAACCTTTACGTAATCAAAAAACAAAAAAACATCAAAGAAGCCGTTAAAATTATTATTTTCCAACAGATCCAGGCTTGAATTTTCCGCTTTGATGCGGGTAATAAAAATGATAGGAATAACATGTGCAGGATTTTGAAGTAGGTACCTACTTCGGACTTTAGAAACCAATTAATGATCTTTGCGCCGTTGGTTGTCGATATCATTCACGGGTAGTCTTTTATCCGAATTCTTAAAGATTTAAAGATTGGTGACCGTTAATTTGGCGATAAACGAAAGGTGTTTCATCGAGCGGGTTTTTCTTTGCTTTGTAGACCGATATTGACGTTTGTAATGTTGTTGATCGGAACTTTGAGAGTTGTTGTCTTGAAAACAAGTTTCTGTCAAATATTATAATATATGAGTATTCTATGACAGCTGCCGCTACAGTTATATTATCTATGTAGCGCAAATTAAAAAGTTTTATGTAATTCGTTTTTATAACTGAGCAATACGTTTCAAGCAACTTACAGTTGCTTTCACTTTGACTATTCGATGGCATTGTTCTTTACCCGAAGTTTGGAACAGGATTGGTAGTTAATTGTATTTTTTTACTGGTGGTAGGGCCTCTTGTGAGTCCGCGCGGGTAGGTACCACCACCCTGCTTATTTCTGCCGTGAAGCAGTAATGCGTTTCGGTTTTAAGGGTGGGGTAGCCGTTGTAACTATACTGAGACCTTAGAACTTATATCTCGAGGTGGGTGGCGCATTTACGTTGTAGACGTCTATGGGTTCCAGTAACCACTTAACGCCAGGTGGGCGGTGAGCTCGTCCACCCATGTAAGCAATAAAAAAAAAACTGCTTTATCACTTATTTGCTTTGCGGTTAGCAGGGGCCTGTCCGTAATATCGTTAACGTCTATGAGCGACGGTAACAACTCACCATCAGGTGGGCCATATGTTCACCTTGTTAATTGTTTTTGTTTTTGCTGTCCGTTGAAGAGAAAGTCTTAGCAGTCAGCAGTCTATATGGGCTGTGCGCTCGACTGCCCGGCCCATATATGCTGATAAAGGTCTTTGTTATATTTCAATGTCATTAATTTTTATTGCGTAGGCTGATGTATACCGAGGAACGGACCGTATTGGGCTGGCGTCCAGCATTCGATCGATATCTTAACAATGCGCCAATGAAAATACCATACAAATCCTTTCAATGAAATAAAACTTGTTACGGGACTAAGCCTACTTTTGTAATGCAGTCTCGTTTTTTTTTCTTCATTTAAATATATTTAATACATTGATATTATAACTTGAACTATTTAAAAATACAGTTGTACCTATCCTTTAATGCAAGCAGTGCAATCTTTTTTTCTGATTTTGACTGATTAACAAACGTCAATTTCATTTTAGCAAGTATTTTTTTGTAACATTATCTTATTCGAATAAATCTATATATTAATACGTGAAGCAAAAACTTTGTATCCCTTTTTACGAAAATCGCGCGGACGGAGGAGTATGAAATTTTCCACACTTATAGAGAATATAGAGAAGAAGTGCACAATGCTAATATTTTTTTTGAATAATGCAAGATACATTAAATCAATAAAGAAAACATTACACACACTACATACCATGTATTTGACGCACACACGCATGCATACTATTTATTGTCAAACTTTTGTTCTTGACGTCTGTTGTCAAAATAGAATATGGTTTGTCTTTGTTAATATTTTTATAGTGTAGTCTTGGCGAAATTTTTGATTACAGAAGTATAAAATACAATCATAATAGTGTACAAACTTACAATTCCAATTAATTATAGTCGAATTTCGACTACTGCGGGACATCTAGTTCGAATAAATTATTCAAAAGGTTAAATATGAGAAAATCACGTATTGAAAATTTCGATGCGACAGCCTGTGTTTTAGTAAGCGTACGGTATATACCTATAGACGTATGTATACTGTGACTGACGAATATAATCGATACCAATTTCAACCTTCGCGTTAGATTCATTAGAGAGCCATGGAAGGACATTTGGTTTTTTTTTCATTCATATTTAAATAGACTAAACAGGTTTGTTGACGAGACTTAGACAATCGATTTTTTTTTCCCCGGTGACTTTGTTTTCAATCTAAAGAGACGATGACTGTTTATATATTATCTTTTTGTTTTCGTTAGTAGGTTTATAAAACACACGCCATAGAGAATTATGACAATGTTCTGTTCATTGTCTTTCGTTAAATGGGAGTATTTTATTTTAAATTGAACGTTGACATGATATCTACAATATGCTTATTCTCTTTAAAGCTTACATTACTCGTCAATATTTAGATAACATGCTGCAATTATTGTAGAGGCACACATTCTATTATGTTTAATAAATATTATTTTCCAGATTCCTATGGCGCTACGCGAATGGCATGATAAGGTCGAAGCGATGGGGACGTCAAGATGCAACTGTAGCGGAATTGTTCACGCGGCGTGCTAAACGGAATCCCGATGCGCCATGTTTTATTGTTGTTGGAGATCGAACGTGGACCTTTGGACAGGTTAAGTACCTATAGATTTTCTAAATTTGAAAAACGTAATGTCCGCTTTACGTCCGTTTAAAGCATACACCGCCTTTCATAGAACGCTATTTGGGGACAGACATAAGTTTTTTTTTATTACCTTTGTAGGCATACGAGCATACGGCCCACCTGATGGTAAGTGGTCACCGTCGCTCATGGACGTCAGCAATGCCAGGGGCAGTGCCAAGCCGCTGCCTACCATTAAGTACTCTCCGCAAGCCTCGTTTGAAGAAGGACATGTCATAGCGCTCGGAAAACACCGTGGAGGGGGGTTCATTCCAAAGCCGGATGATACGTGGCAAAAAAGATCTTTGGAAACGCACTGTCGATGAACGCAGCGGTTACAGATAATATGAATGAACTCTGCTCCGATGGCAGGAGGTGCGATGATAAAAAGGAGATGAGGGGATCATTTCGAATAAGTCCCGAACCACTCTCAGTCCCTTTAAGAATTCCCAGCACCAGTCATGTTCGACGTGCAATTTAACCTGCAGAGACAGTCCACTGACTTTCTTGCCGAATGTACTCAGTGTGTCGTCATTCTGTTCCGATGATAGGCTCAGCGAAGCACTGCTCCTGGTAAGGCAAAAGTTATCAAACCCTCTAAGGACAATAGAATATAAATAGAACCCAATACAGAATAGCCACGAGACTACTGGCAGATAAACAAGAAATAAGCAGGAATTTGTGCTTTTCTGAGCTCGCTCAAACACGCTTTAATATTATTGGCTGGCTCAAAACATGCTCTTCAATTATTATTACAGGAAGTTACGTAGGGATAAATTATCAGTATACTAGTACGGACAGATGATGGAGGGACAGATAATCTGTACTTTACAGATTGCGTCGAAATCGAACCAAGTGGCGCGAACTATGCAAGAGCACCTGCAGCTCAAGCGCGGTGACGTGGTCTGCGTATTCCTGCCCAACAGCGGCGAGTACATCTGGACGTGGCTTGGCATCGCTAAAGTCGGAGGTGTTTCAGCGCTCATCAACAGCAATCTGCGACATAAACCCCTCTTGCACTGCATACAAGTGGCCAATGCAAAGGCTGTAATCTTCTCTGATCAACTTACGGATGGTGAGATTGAGATAATTATTTCAAATGTATTAATATAAATTGTTTTTTATTCGACAGTACCAATACCACTAAAGCGCACGGTAGAACACAATTTTTAGCGTCAGTACACGAAACATGAATATCGATATATTATTATGTTTAATGCTAACTTTTTTCCTGGTATATATTTTGGGCACTTACTATTAGACAGTTTATTATCAAGGTCATGTTTAATAATTGTCACCTATCACAAGGAAAGCGAGAAGAATTCCTTCACATATACATTCACTATGATTCTATTTATTCATTTACTTTAAAATAATGGGAGGGCATGTTGTTATCCCCCACGATCTTGGCTATTTTTGGCGCGAAGCTATAATTTGTTCGGATTTAAATGGTAGGATAGAGTGAAATTGGGACTCCAAACATAGGATTGTCGCATTGTTGTTTCCTGGTTTGCGTAATAGTTCAGTAAATTCCATCCGATCCACTAAGCTTGTCATTAGACGTCTGTAGCTCTAGCAATGAGAGCAGGCATAGGGGCCCTGGTAACCGTGCTCGTCGACTTCGTCAAAGAGATCTACCCAGCGATCAAACATAAATGTAACCCATACATCAGCCCGGACTTTCGAGTCGAAAGATCTTCTCAGCGGGTCGCGGCTCCGATTCGGTAGTAGATCCATTCGCGAAGCAGCTGTCCTTGAGCTGTTAGTGGACTCCTTCGGTGGCGCTCGGGCAGTTTTTAGTAACTACCATCCTTCCCGTTTGAGCCATTGCTCGCCCACCTGTCCTGATGAAACTGGAAAGACTTCCAGGATATAAGTAATCCCTCTATCTTAAAAAACGAGCAGAAAAAAAAAGCTCCGTACTGATTGAAATGAAATAAGAAGATGACTTTAAATCATAGTTTTTAAGTTTATATAATTTTCTGTTTTTTTTTCTTCCGTTTTAGCGATTGACGAAATCCGTGATCAACTACCGAAGGGACTAAAAATGTTTCAACTGTATGGAAAGTCTAAGCCTGGTATTCTGGATCTTGAGAATGAAATGAGCAAGCATTCAACAGACTACCCAGTCGTCACGGAGAAGCTTCATTATAAAGACACATTGCTTTACATCTACACGTCAGGCACGACGGGAATGCCGAAGGCTGCTGTTATGCCAAACTCCAAGTAAATTATGTTTTTATATTCACTTGTGTTCGTCTGATGATTGAAATTGGACAATAATTATTAACCTTCAAGATTTAGCTTAAATTTATGTACCTATGCAGTTTTCGGTCTTTATTTTAAATTTGAAAAATAAACAAATTTAAAGCTAAAGGTAAAGGAAATCTAGTTTTAAAATTATCGAAAATAGCTTATCAAGGTTATCAAGATTTAAATTTAACGAGAATGTTTTTCTTACATCACCTTATCTTAAAGCTAGTGTTATAAAAACGATACATACTCCCAGGATTATTCCGATTATTCCGTAAATCATATTTAAAAAAAAAAATTAAGCTTATTATGTTATTTTTTTTTTAATATAATCATTTTTATTTAACAGACGCAAATTCTGATTAATAATATTTTGACATGTCATTTGCTTATGATTTTTTTTTGCTTTTGAAAAACATTGCATTGAAAGGAAATATCTAGTTAACAGCAGTTACAACTCATCTATGTACACTAACCTGAGCGGCTGTGCAATTATATTATTTAATAGGCTCAAAATTTACATTTAACAACAAATTAAACTAAAAATATATAACACACAACGACTTAATATATAATTAATATAATTCTCACGGAACAATTCTCTTGGAAATAATAATTAATTATAAATGTTTTTCATGTCATAAAAATTAACATTGAATTAATTTTTTTTCCGATAATAATATACTACATAGCCCACGCAGTTTCATTCGTGTAAATTTGTTATTCAGAAATAATGAAATATTTTGCATTTCCCAGGGATAAAGAGTACCTTCTGTTACTCTCTGATCCATAAACAGTCAGAACCTCGCTGGTTACAGTCGTATTTATTATTGCATACTAGAAATTCGAATCCCGCCGGCGGGTATCAATTTTTCTAATGAAATACGTACTCAACAAATGTTCACGATTGACTTCCACGGTGAAGGAATAACATTGTGTAATAAGGATCAAACCCGCAAAATTATAATTTGCGTAATTACTGGTAGTAGGACCTCTTGTGAGTTAGCGCGGGTAGGTACCATCACCCTGTCTATTTCTGCCGTGAAGCAGTAATTCGTTTTGGTTTGAAGGGTGGGGCAGCCGTTGTAACTATACTTGAGACCTTAGAACTTATATCTCAGGTGGATGGCGTATTTACGTTGTAGATGTCTATGGGCTCCAGTAACCACTTAACACAAGGGGGGCTCGTCAACCCATCTCAACAATAAATAAAAAATTATCTGGATTTTCGAGCAATTTTTTTATTTTAATGAATAATATGATAATTTTTGAAAAACTCTCATCGCAACGATTATTTCCTAAATCACAAGTCGGCCGTAATGCGATAACAAAAGAGGACATTTTAAAACTTTGTCCATTTCTGTCGTGGAGCAATCATGCATTCCTATTGGACTATTATCGGCCCGATTTTGCCCGTAGTGCAGAAATGAGATCACGGTTCTTTTGGTGTCAACCGATGACAAGATCCCACAGATAACATAACGTTAAATCGGCCACGTAAATAATCTATTTCTTTGGACGGATTTGGACGGATATTTCGGCGGTCGCCTCCTCATCAGGCTATTAAACATACACTACTAAAACATATACGTAAAGGTTTTCTTGGGAAAATTACTAGTAGTGGGTTCCCGCGTCCTTCGCGGAGGACAGGAGTGACTGGAGGAACATAGTCCTAACAAAAGTGCTCCGTAAAGGCCACGACACTCAGCACTGAGGAATACGACGCACGGAGGGAGGAGGAGCACTAAAAAATATAGACAAATTATTAAAGTCGTTAGTATTTCAATAAATCAAGTTGAATGTCTTTACAGGTATTTGTTGATTGTAGCAGCGACGGTCCACATGCTGGGTTTGAATTCATCAGACCGCGTTTACAACTCGCTACCACTGTACCACACTGCAGGCGGTGTGGTGGGAACAGGGGCGGCGCTGGTCGACGGAATCCCCTCTGTGATCAGGCCCAAGTTCTCGGCGAGCAATTTTTGGACTGACTGTATTAAATATGATTGCACGGTGCGTTATAATGTTCGATATTATTATTCTTCTAAAAATATTTGAATGTCAAATTCAATCATATTTTTTTCATTTAATACTCTACTAAGCTTGTTTTTTTTTACAACTGAACGGAATGAGAAGGAACGTCTACTGCGTAGAATGGAACTTGCCGCTAGAGATAAATAATCGTTTCATACTAAGTCTTTAGTGTTTCTATTAACAAGATAATTGGTTATTGATTGTCTGGTTTTTTTTTTATATAGGTATTTATTTTAATTAAATAATAGTTGTGTTCAAATTGTTCTAATATAATTTATTATACATTTGAGATACGAAGGGAACCATTAATTTTGTTATTGCCAAATTGAGATATAAGTCTAAATGTTTTAGTTGCTAATGTCAGAAAAAAATTGTGACACAAATACATAATCCCAATATGTACTACCAAAACTAGAATACTTTTCTGATTGTTCTTCTCATTCGTATACACTCTTGGCAGAGTGGTCGTGGTCATCAATCACTTCGGGTGGTGGTGCGCTTCACCAGACCTCGCCATTCCTCACGTACCGCGGGCCTTCTTGTGCACTCGTTGTATGATTAGTTAACGTCAACAGGTGGCCCAGTACATTGGCGAGATGTGTAGATACTTGCTGTCTCAACCGGCGCGACCGACTGATTCGCAGCATCGCGTTCGCATCATGGTCGGCAATGGCATGCGACCCGCTATCTGGCAACAAATAGTGGACCGGTAATCACAAATGTTTATATACATTTAATTATAATACATACTTTTTTCAGGCTAATCATTTACAGCAACGTATTATAAACATAAGTGTAAATAGACATGCTTTAACAAAAACCGACTTCAAATAGAAAAAAAAAGATATTCCAAATCAAATTGATATACTCTAAAAACAATAATCATCGAAATCGGTTGGCATGATAGTGTCGTGGCGTGATATTCATCTATTTGTCGCGCACGTACCTACTTAATGCAAATATAAGACTTGTATGGTTTTCTCGTGGATACCATTATCAGAACTGGACAAAATTGAAATGGGACCACAGGGGAAGCGTCAGCTTTCTAATAAAAGAATCATCAAAATCGATTCACCCAGTCAGTCAAAAGTTATGAGGTAACAAACATAAAAAAACATACAGTCCAATTGAGAACCTCCTCCTTTTTTGAAGTCGGTCAAAAATAGAGCATATTATGGCAAATAATATAACTATAATCATAAATTTTAATGAACGAAAACTACTGCTAATGTTTACTATATAATATGTATTTTTTAACATTTTGAATAATTTCGATATCTGCAGGCATTTGATTACTTAACTTAACTTGAAATTTGCATACTTATCAAGGATCGATGACAATTCAATATTTTAAACAGTTAGACCCGTTATCCTTACTGAGATAATCAGGATTAGTGATTTTTCGTTGGCACTAGCTCCCAATTTTAGCAGCTCTTCCACAATATTAACAAAGCCTAATTCAACCGGTATGTAAATTAATAGCTTAATATGTTGATGTTTAATTGTAATGCCATATTTAGTAAATATGTAATAGTTAAAAAAATAAAAAACACTTTTACAATTACATATACAGTCAAACCTGGATAAGCGAGAGTTCAAGGGAGCACAATCTCATAGGTTTTTCACTAACCCGAGTTTCTCGCTAATGCTCCCTCTGAATTTCATTTCGCGATTTTCCGGATTCAAACGCATTCACTATTTTAAGTTTATCACTTAATGACAGTATTTTAATTTTCCGTTTTGACATGATGCAGAACAAAACTTTCCTTCGCAATTGATTAACGATAAACTGAGTAAGTCCGACAAACAGGAGGGTACACAGGCACACGTGTCCATTCGAACTAAAGTTCCACGAAATAGAATAGGTTCAATATTGACGAGAAAACAATACAAAAAGAATGGTAGGAAGTTCCACAAAAGTTAAGAATGAGTATTAAAATAGCAGATGTTAAATTTGTAATTTGTTTTGTCACTTGTTTCTCCTAAATAATATAAATAAATAAAGCTCGACTGTCGCTTATAGAGGTATAGAAAAGTAGCAGTCTCACTTACAGAGGTACATGAGGTAAAAACTACTCTCTCTTACCAAGGTTTCTGTTTCTCGCTAATAGAGGTTTTGGGAGCTTAAAATGACGGATCCTGGCTATTACTCTCACTTATAAAGTTTTCTCACTTATCCAGTTCTCACTTACGCAGGTTTGACTGTATATATAATCATAATGGCAGTTTCGTTCCAATTCAAACGGTAATATAACAGTTTTTTGTCCATCGGACACAGTAGCTATCTTTCTACAGTGCGAACATAGCCTATAGCGCATAGCATATAATTAGTTTCAAACTAGATTTTTTTAAGCTAAATATTTATAATTGTTTACATCCAATGCGTAAACAAATAAAATACTATTTTATGGTTCTCAACAATCCACTTCCTTAACAATATTGCAGTATTAATTGAAACAGGAAAATATTAAGGAAAACGTATCGTAAATTGTTTTGATTATACTATCATTTAATAATGTGTCTCGACAACAAGAAAATGAGTGCTAAGTCGCGACGATGTCGTCGTCAAAGAACGTAGAAGTGGCCTAACTGTTATTTACAAGCAGAGCGGGAAAGTTTAGGTCAATGATCCCATAAACAAGCTTAAAGTGAAACATGTTTCCCAAATATTTTAATTATACCGCAAGGTAGGCTCTGTCTTTGAACGAGAGTAGGTTAACGAACGTATATATTAATATTAATTTTTGTATGTCTATGTATTAATAACCTCATGATATATTTTTTAGGTTCAAAGTACCGCAGATCAACGAGATATACGGCGCGACCGAGAGCAATGCAAACATCAGTGAGTAAATTTACATTAGTATTTCGTTTATAAATGAATTGGCACGTTTGTTTACGTAAAAAATTACGTAGACCACATCAAAATGCTTCAATATTAAACTAAAAATTTAAACTACTAATAACTATAATACTATAGCATAACAATAAAAACAACTTTAGGTAGGTAAGATAATTTATCGAATATTGCAGGTTAAGTTTTCATACGCATCATGATATTATTCGGAACATATCATTCAAAGTAGATACTGAAAAGACTCGATTCAAATGTTATATCATTAAGAACAATGGAGAGGGCTATTCTCGGAGTTTCCCTGCGAGATTGAATCAGGAATGTGGAGATTAGCCCGAAAGAATCTGAGGTTGCAGTGGCAGTGGGCAGGGCAGGGCATATTGTTCGTAAACAGATTGGGGCCCAAAATTTCTTGAACGGCGACCGATTATCTGAAGACGTAGCGTGGGTAGACCGCTCCCCGAGGTTGACCTACTAAAGGTCGCGGGAATTCGCTGGATGCGGGATAAATTTATAGCATAGTTGAGCTACATATGCTTAGAATTCCAAATCTCCATTTTTATCTCTCTCAAGTACTTTAAAACTTGAACATTGAAAATGTGGGTGTTTTTAAAAAAATGTTCAAAAACTGACACGCGAGTAGATGACCCAGTGGGAGACTGGCAGTTTTCCGCTAAAGTTAAGGAAAAACAACATTTTCCTTTCGGCTCATGAATGAACCTAACAGCCACTAGTCTCTGTAGCCATTAAAATAGCTTATTCATATAAGTGGATGAAATTCCAGTTAAACAGAATACTAATAATGCTTTCTTTACTTGCAGTCAACGTAGACAATACCTTGGGTGCTGTAGGCTTCCTTCCCAAGCTGGTCCCAACCAGCCTTCACCCCATAGCGTTGGTGCGCTCGGACGATCAGGGAAACCTGGTGCGAGGACCTGACGGCTACTGCATCCGATGCCCCCCGAGTGAGTAGTTCAGTCATTTTACGTATACGTAGAATGTGTTGTACAAAAGTTACAAGCTCGGTGTTTTTGATGCTTTACTTTCCCGGTCTCCTTTCGTAATACTTATTTTCTAGACAGGTTCACAAAATTGTCGAATTTGTTTCGATCCTATTCAGATAAATAAAGATGCGATGAGGAAATACGAAGTAGAGTAATCATCGACTTCTCGATGAATTGATCACAAAATCTCACACGATGTAACACACACATGACACGGTGTTTAAGGTGCTGGATTTCTTTTTCAGTAGTTTATTCAACTCGTAAAACTAAAATGAAATTCGAAATTATTTTTTTACTTAGAAATTGTTCACATTTATAAATCACTAGTATCCATCTAAACAAAACACTTTATTTTTCAGATGAGCCTGGTATGTTCATTGGACTTATCGCCCAGGGGAATGCGTCCCGAGAATATTACGGATACGTCGATAAGGTAAGAAGTCTTATAACCCCGCTGATATTTCAAAGTCTTATGAGTTACGTTATTTTTTTTTTTAATAATGTATAGTAACTTGTCTGTATTATACTGGTATAATTGAGCTTTGCAATTAATCAAACACCGATTTGATCTGTAAAGTAGCGTATATTTTTCTGAGAGGTTGGAAATACTTGGTCGCTTTATTGTAGATAATATGGGCAACAAGTTGATGTATTTAAAAAAAAATCGCATTGTACAGAACGACAGCAACAAGAAGTTGGTACGTGACGTTTTCTGTAAGGGAGACGCAGCCTTTGTGAGTGGCGACATCTTAGTGGCAGACGAGTTGGGTTATCTGTTCTTCCGTGATCGCACCGGGGACACGTACAAGTGGAAGGGCGAGAACGTCGCTACCGCCGAGGTCGAGAACGCCATGTCACCAGTGTTGGATGAGAAGGCCTGCGTTGTCTATGGTGTTTCGGTGAGTTTTCAAAAAAATATTTTGCAAAACAATCTTGTCAATCTCGGAATGATTATTTCGAAAAAAAAAACCCATGAATTCTTTAAATTTTGTTATCTATTGTCCCCATAGACAAATTACAATTCCTGCATATCTATTGTGGAGCAATCATGCTAAATGTATAATACAACTTTTAAGCTAAAGCAATGGAAAATTTGGCCTCTTTTCTGAAGGTGAGCGGCGGTATCTAAGTTGCGATTTATTAACCTCGATAATAACTTAAAAAACCTGTTGTATAAATTGAAAGCGACTGCGGCATAGATATTCATGAAAGTAGGTATATAACATTAACATTATGTATAAAGTTATCTATCCGTCCATTACAATAAACAAATATTTATCATAGATCCCTCAGACGGAAGGACGAGTCGGCATGGCTGCCATAGCCGATCCGTTAGGCGAATTGGACTTGAAGAAGCTTGCGCGGGATTTAGATGATTGCTTGCCTTCGTATGCGAGACCAATGTTCCTGCGTTTCATGAATGATTTGGACATAACAAGTAAGTCGAATAATATTCGCTTAGTAAAAATTATCTTAGTCATGTTATATAAAGAAACAAAAACAAACGAGTTTAGTACCTTTATTAGCAGCAGCAGCTATTCGCGATGTTAAGCGATTTTTATTTATTTTGTTGAAGATAGTTTTTGTCGCAAAAAAACTTGTTACATAAGTTTGATGAGTCAAAATCTTGAGCTGTCAATGATTGTCATCGAGGCTTGATCATTGGCTGAACACTGTTTTTGTTATACTCGTATGTAAAAATATGCAAAATATAAATATGCAAAAAAATATGCAAATACGCAAAATATGCAAAAAAATTAAGTGTCATTACAATGTATTCAAAAATTGTATTTAAAAGAGCCAATGAACAAATGAACTATTTTCCACAGGTACATTCAAACTAAAAAAGTTGCAATACCAAAAGGAAGGTTTTGATCCTGACGTCATCAAGGAGCCGTTATACTTCAGATCCGGAGACAGTTTTGTACCCATAACCTCTCAACTATTCCATGATATTTGTAACGGAAAATTGAAAATTTAATTATTAAAAGCATCCGTTTTTGAAAACGATCAGGGCAAATCGTCGCGTTTGCAAATCGTACAAGTTACTCAATGTCACAATCGTTAGTCTAAATGAGGAGTATTTCACTAAATATATGTATTGAACAACGGATATGGAGAATGGAATATTATTAAATTATTATGAGGGAAATAATGTTAAATATAATTATTATTTAAATAAATATTGATAAGATTATGAAATGAATCTGTCAATGGGACTGTAAGTTCTTTTCAATTTCAAAAACACGTCTAACGTGTTTGGTAACTTTGATAGCAAGTGTGCTTAGTGCGAGTTCCTCTTTTTCATCATTTTTGATAAGAGGTATAGCGTTAATAGCTTCTCAATAATGTTTCTTGTAAAAAAATTAAAATCGCATTACGGCAAGTGTTTGTGATGACCGATCCTCTGTGATAGCGTTTTCTTCTTTACTCCTCTGAATGTCTCTTTCAATGCATTGCCAATCACTAGTAACGTTACCGCGACCGAATTAGTAAAAAAAATCTCGCACTCGGCACAGAGATTTTAATTTTTTTATGTGAATGTAGTAAATTAGACGTACACCAACGTTACCTTGTGATAAAAAACAAAATATTAGCCACATTGTTTTGGCATAGGCAATTTTGTAGGTATAGTGAATTAAGTTGCCTCTCGCAAAAAATTTAAAACACATTAATCAATCGAAACACAATAACAGCAGTAACTTTACTTGATACATAGTAAAAATACTAGGGAACATTCCACCATCTATCTAGTCACATAAGATTTTGTTTTTTAGAATTCCATAAAATATTTCTGTTCCTTGTGTATTGTTTTTAGTTGGTTTTTGTAGAGTTGGTTATTTGTTTAACGCATGATTTTTTCGGTATTATTGTTTGATAAATTTGAAGGCACTAAAAGCGTTTTAGTATAATGGTTCAGTCAAATCAGAATTCGAACGTTCGGTTTTAATTTCGACTAGGTTTGTAAAAACAACAATGTACTAATTTTCAATGGGAGTGATGTAATCAAGTAATTGTTTTGCATAAAATGTAAATAAACACAGTTCTTTACGTCATAATGTTGTATTTATTTCTCAAAATCCACAAAATAGCTTTCGTCAACAATATGCAATAGAACATAACATCTGATATACATAATTATGTATTGTTCAAACGGCGATATGTTAACAGTAAATAGGGTTTGCAATCGAAACATAAAATTAGAAAATATTTTGCCATATTAGAAAATCTTGACATTTTTAAGTTTATTTTTTTTTTTTATTTATTTATACTTATTGTACACAAAAGAAAATACAATAAAAAACAGATTTAAAGAATTCTAAATACTATGTACAAAGGCGAGCTTAACTCATTCATGAGTTTTCTTCCAGCAAACCATTATCAGAGAGAAATACGATGTATAAGAGGGGAATAGTGTACAATATAAAGCATGATTTTTAACTAAGCATTAAAAAAAATAATNTAATACGGGAGGAAATCCGTGTGGAGCTTCCCCTCTGAAATAGCACCGCAGTACTTTTCGCTGGGTTGATGTCTATGCGCCATTTTCGGAACCACTGTCCTAGGGCTAGGGCTGCGCTCTGAAGCTTCTTCGCGATTAGGGACTTGTTTCTACTGGAATAGTAAACAGTCGTGTCGTCGGCGAATAAAGCTAAATGGGTCGGACGAGAATACGTATGGCCTGGTGCTAACTAACAGGAGCACAACCAATGACTACGATACTATACAGCAACACGTTTGTTTCCGCAACTGGACTACACGCTACTGTCCTGATTAAGCATTGTGACATATACATTTTCGTGATCCGTTACAATATGATTACAAAAATAAATACAAAAAACCTGTCAAAACCCAATTCTAGTTCAAAAATTTTTTAGTGTCATTCATCTTAAAGTCCTGTCCGCATGTCGCAACATATTTTATGAACCAGTATCACTTTACATCAGCTGGGCCCTGAACTCGTTCGCCCATCTATGAAAATTCATATGATTATTGCGTTTAGGGAACGTTATCCTATTTAATTAAAGTAAAGTATTTAGTAGAAAATAAAATGTTTTCTAAATTATTCTATACTTTTTAATAAAGATCACAAATCAGACTCAAGCGGAATAAGAACATGACCAGGCGACGGCTAGTCTTCAGCTCTGATAAAAGTCTAGTCTTTAGTCGTACTGAAATGACCATTCTTGGTTAAGGAATATAAGAGTCTTAAGAACTTAAGAATCTTATCTTGATAGACTTGGGCCAAACAAGCACAAGACAAGTGTAATATTAATGTTATTTATTGAAACAGTATGCTTGGTCAGACTGGGTAATAAAGTAGTGGCAACATGAAGCCACAGCAACAAATGAGATTACGGGCAGCTTAGGGTGAAGCATTAAAGAGTGGAGATAAAAATTTAAGCAATTATATTCTACAATGAATTCCTAAAGATGCTTTTTATAATACAGCCCTACGGTGTACGTAATTCAGCATAAAACATACTCGCCAAATTAAAGATGCCTATTTAGAATCAGCCTCTAAACTAAAACATCCCTACGAACAATGCCTCTTTTCCATTTATCTGCATTTGAAAAAACATAGTCTTCCCCGCATTTCAATAACAAATGAAATAAGTTAACGTTCATATGTGATAGTGAATCTTGTTTGTTTTTCCGAAGCCGCCAATGCGAATAAACAATGTTAGCTAAAAGAAAAACAACCGGAACAACAGAGCGACCGGAAACGACTACGTCCTTACGACTTTTGATTCGAGGAAGTTCTGTGCTCTGTCAGTGATTACAGAGTAGATTGGAGTGATGGATTAGAGCGAATTCGAAGAGTGAATTCAACTTCTAAAGGAAACTTCACTTTGCCATTGAAAGCCCTAGAAATCACAAACAGACTATGTATGTGTATGTGGACTGTTTTCAGTAACACATTATTATAGTATATAAAACACTTATGTTACGATGTGTAGCTGTAGTGAGTGCAGTGAATAGTTGTTATGTTGGAACCTTACCGAAAACAAATATAGTAAAATAGTAAACAACACAATAATTTAAAACTTGTTGAAATTTGTTGTGGAACATGAATTATTACGTGACATACATATTACATGAATTAAGTTATTAAATTATTTTATTAAATGTTAATTATTAAATTAAACTATAATATTAAATTAAAGTACCTTAAATAAAATCTTAAATTATGTTCATATATTTTAAATAAAGTATCAGACTTATTTCTCACTACAATTTTCACTAAAAATTAGATGATGTTAAAGTTCCGTATGTAGGGCTAGCCACCACAAGTTGGCTGTATTCTTTTTCTTCATCAGGGTAGTTTGTAGTTAGCAATGCTATACATATAATATCAGGTAATTATTGTCAAAAATCTTTGATAAAACAACCGCTAAGCTTGTTGTTAATGCTATACTTATTTTATGACTGATACAAGCACGCTTTATTTCGCCCCAGGTTGGATTAATTTAAAAGAAAATCCGATAAAGTCTGCCTGTAACCAAAAGTGATTTGAAATGTCCGCAGTCTATCGGCCGATATTTCATGTAATGAAAATATATCAGGGTTCAGGCAACGACCAACATTACCAGGCGCAGAGTCAGGCCGCTGACTACCACTGAGCCTAGTTTTAAAACATGTCACAGCGATCGAGAAACACCGTGAAAGGGAGTTCATTCAAAGATGATCTTGAAGATCAGAAAAGATCTCTGGAATGCACTGTGGATGAACGCAATGGCTCTAGGTAATGTGGATAAAATTTACTCCAGTAGCGGACGATGTACGTTGTAGATGTCTATGGGCTCCAGTAACCACTTAACACCAAGTGGGCTATGAGCTCGTCCACCATCTAAGCAATAAATAAAAAAAACAGAAACGAATTTTGGGTTTTCAAAAATAATTTATCGGTCAGCTGGCCTTGTCAGACAGATAGTAAGATCAAGACGAGTTTGGACAGAGCTGCTGCACGCTATTACGGCTGACGAGAAAGAAAGCGAACACAGCGAACGCTACTCCTTAAATAGGCCGTTGTAGTGTTGCTACTCTGTATTTTTATTTTCTTCCGACAGGATCATCTTAATTAATTCTTCAAAGCACTCCTCATGGAACATACAATACAAAAATAGAAAGAATCAAAGTGCATCCGTAGACCCAGAGGTTCCAAGCGATCTGTGAGAACGGGGTTTTCAATAATCCGAACGGCCCTCTTCTGTATGAAGTCAAATGGAAATAGCTGGTATTTAGGAGCATCAACCTAGAGGTGGGAGAGTACTTGTGTTTTGTAAAGCAAAAGTCTTTGTCCGGGCATGAAATCCCGCTACCCTCTGTTGAGGACTCCTCTGTTTTGACGCCAACTTGACTTTGCCCTTGAAATAGCTCCGATTTTTGACATTATTCGAAACGTCAACTCAAATATACCATTATTGGTGGAAGGTTACAGGGATACTTTTTCGAATTGCGACAACTTGACAAAAGTGAACGCGCAGTCTCTTTAACGGTTTGAATTGAAGTAAGTTCTTTTCACTCCACTTGGAGACCCATCCCAAAGAATTCTCCACTTCTGACACAAATTTTAATAATCTCTCCTACCACACGCTTCGTGAGAGACTCTCATGGCCGATACATTCCTCATGCCTCGTCCTGGCATTCACATGACAATGCATGCCATTAAAATATAGAATGAAAAGCGTAAGGGAGAGCACCAAATCTTGTAGAACGATAGCGTCAATGGTCATGCGATCGGAGCAACAGCCGTCTACGACGACTGTGATGGTCCACCCATACAAAAGCTACCGATCCACTTGCAGAATCCCTAGGTGATTCCGTAAGCTGGTAGCTTCGGAATGCCCTATGCCCTAATTAAATTATTGTATTGTCATTGTCAAGTGAGCGGAGTTTCCATCCGACGCTTTAAAGTTGGTGAAAATCACGTTCAAAAATTCCGTTATATACACACTCGGATACATAGCAAGCTAATAAAAACATGTTGAATGCTCAACATGAAACAAGCTAATAAAAACTGAAATCGATTCGTGATGGTTAATAATGGAAACCATTTTGAAGACTTTAAAATATTCAGGCGAATCATCGCTTACCACTACAAAATTAAATGAAATCAATCACGAGACCTCACACACAGCACCTCAAACGAGATTCGAATGCGAGCTCTACGAATCAAATCGAAATTACATCCATTGACGTGCCCAATGAGATCTAGAGCTCATTCAAACGGAACCCGGTCCAAAGGCAGCTGGAACAAAAGCTGACGACGGAGGCAAATACACAGAGCCACGGACAAAGGGTTCAAATGTTCCTAAAACTGAATAGTCAAAAGGAATTTACGAACGAGTGGGTAAATTCGTTGCCTGCTAATGGAAACAAAATATTGTTTTTATTTTCGAAATTATAAACATCATTTAATTTCACTCTTTGTTTCAATTTTCGTAGTCTATTTTGATTTAATAAAATAATGTTATCTTGATACACATTGATATTGGCCTTACAGTTGACTATAACAGTAAGTTTTAATTTTAATTGTTTGCTATCCGAAAAAAGAGATTCGACGATGCTCATAGGAAAGACTATTATTGTGAACATAAATATTTATACAATTCGATAGATTCATTCACTCCCTTATGTTGTATTACAAATAACAAATAGCGGTCTATCATTTAATCGTAATTATCTTGAAAACCTTGAAAGTCGATGAATAAGTTATGAGGATTTTACTTTTGCTACATGATGCTCTATACCTTCATCGCGGAAGTCATTTGTGAGCATGCGTTAGGTGCATAATGCCAAAACGTCAGAAAATTTGATGGCTGTCTCTGGAATTGGAGCTGGTCTAGTCTTATCGCGCTCTGTCAATGTCGTGAACTCCTTATTCTTATTCCTTATATCTATATATAAAAAAGACTCGACCAAATAAATTGTTTTTTTTTCTTTGAACATAAACTGACCACCTTTTTTTTATTGCTTAGATGGTTGGACGAGCTTACAGCCCACCTGGTCTTAAGTGGTTACTGGAGCCCATAGACATTTACAAGGTAAATGCGTCACCCACCTTGAGATATAAGTTCTAAGGTCTCAGTATGGTTACAACGGCTGCCCTACCCTTCAAACCGAAACGCATCACTGCTTCACGGCAGAAATAGGCAGAGTGGTGGTACCCACTCGTGCGGACTCACAAAAGGTTCTACCACCAGTATCACCACCCTGAATCACATAGGCCAGATTACTCTGCATTCTTAGACAATAATAAAACTAATTGAAACGTTCGGTTTTTCTTTATCAGGTCGACCAGAGCCTTCGGTGCGTTGGCTGGTGAATGGAGTCCTTGTCGATGAGGAGTATGAGCACAATACTGGTGACGTCATAGAGAACCGACTACTATGGCCCGCGATACGACGCGCCGACTACGCAGCAGTCTTCACTTGCCAAGCTGCTAACTCGCATCTAGTGCCGCCCAAGGAGGTGTCGCTGGTACTGGACATGTTCTGTGAGTATTACCAAAGAGTGGCTCATTAAGTGTTAGTATTATTAGGTTGTTTGACAGAACTTTAATTTCATATTATAGTAATCTCGAATCATAGTTGTGATTAAGACACCGAAGGCTCCTACGTAATCTATCGTCTGTAACAAAATGATGTTTTCATGTTAGATCATTCGTATTGAACATTGAATAATATAGAAATGTCGCATAGACTTCATGGATTCTTTTTTGTTCCTACATATTATTATGTACATATTATATTATATATAAGAGATAGTCCTGTATAGGTTTTTTGCGTATTGTGACTGTCGCTATCTATAGTGGTTCGATGCGCGGTAAGAGTGGATTTTCATTATTTAATTTAATTACAGAGCTTTCACTTCAAAGAGTAGCAGTATCTAACTATAAATATTTTTTCGAGGACATATCTTGCCAATTATTTATTTCTAACGTTGGTAGTTCCCCTTTTTTTGGGACGAAGCTCCATAAGGGACGATGCGGAGGGGTACCCTAACCGGGAAAAAACGTCCGTAACGTAAGATTTTTATTAGTAATGCACACAGTGTAGGACTTAACCTTGTAATAACGTACAAATTAGTAATGCACACAGTGTACGACTAAACTTTTCAATAACGTACAAAATATAACATATTTTTGTATAATTCATTGACCACGATCTCAGAGCGTTCGTTTGCGCAATACACTAACTCTTATGCAACCGTGAATGAAGTGTACCACAATAAGTTCACACGTTACCAAATGACCGTCGATTGTTGGGAAGCCTCCAGTTTTACTTTCTTTATAGGTACCTCGAATAGAACTTAAAATAAATATTTTTATAATAAAGAACTTCGTTTCTATCCGGTGTCCCACGACATCACACATCTTTTTTGTTTATATCTTCATTTGTTTTTACTTTCTAATTTCATTTTTTTTATTGAAGGGGCTCGCAAATAATTTAATAGGGTATGGTATTAAAAAATAACATTTTAATAATTATATTTTCCAAAAAATTTGACTTCCATAATGGTTGTGTACTCACCACCGGAAGAAGGTATGCTGAATCATATCCTCATAATTAAATCATAAAATTATTGAAAATCTTAAAATAAACTAAATGCTAAATAGATAAATTTTAATCTTATTAAGTTAAAACAGTCCAACAGTATAGTGGGGACATGTCCTTCTTGAAACGAGGCTTGCGGAGAGTACTTAGCGGTAGGCAGCGGTTTGGCTCTGCCCCTGGCATTTCTGACGTCCATGAGCGACGATGACCACTTACCATCAGGTGGGCCGCAGGCTCGTCTGCCTACAAAAGAAATTAAAAAAATATATGACATATTTGCTAGCGTTAACATTAATTAAATATTAAAAGCTTTTTCCGAAGTTAAATGAATTGTATCACAAAGTTTTACATACTAGGGGTAGGGCTTTTCCTATGTTTTCTTGAAAACGCCTTTAACCTTCACAAAATAAGAATTTTGTTTTATTTGTTTCTTTTTCAGTGCGACCATTAACCGTAGAAATAAAGAAGCCTGCGGAAACGGGAGAAGGAGGAGTTCTAACAGCGGAACGGCGCTACGAAGTGGCCTGCGAGTCAGCGGGCAGCCGTCCCCCGGCCATCGTCACTTGGTTCAAGGGCAAGAGACAGCTGAAGAGGATAACGGTAAGTTTTTTTTTTTTGCCCTTGTCGCCCATGGACTTCAGCAATACCAGGGGCAAAGCCAAGTTGCTGCCTACCGCTTAATACTCTCCACAAGCCTCGTTTGAAGAAGGACATGTCAGCGCTCGGGAAACACCGTGGAGGGGAGCTCATTCCATAGCCGGATGGTACGTGGCAAAAAAGACCGCTGGAAACGCACTGTGGATGACCGCAGCGGCTCCAGATAATATGGATGAACTCTACTCCGGTGGCGGGCGGTGCGATGGTAAAAACGAGATAACGGTATCATCTCCAACAATTCCGCAGAGCACGCACTCTAAATAATAGTAAATGTAATTTGCGGTGTTCGAGTTGATAGCGTATTGAATATGTACAGAGCCTACTGTTTCATCAACGCTGAGTTTGTTGATGAGTAATGGATGACCATTGCTCATCCTGAAGAAAAATTATCAACCCTTACCCTAAATATTTTTTGGGGAATGCGACAAAGAGAAGATTTTGCACTAAGCGGATTAATAGCTCGGTAAACGACGGTGTAATAATGTCTGTTTGTTATTGGTCGGAACTTATAATTTTGAAAAAGTATCTTGAAGATGCCGTTAGCGCGATTCAAGCGTCTGTAAAATATCTAATAGCCAATATCAATGTCTTTTGAACATGGTAGAATATTTAACACACATAATCACAAATATCGACCAAATTCAATGTAAAAGGTTGAGCTTTATTTTCTGCCTGACCCTTTATGTATACTTAAATATATCGCTAAATATCAAACAAGACTCTTCTTGTTCGTCTTCTGGGCGATACATTTATTTCTGAAGGCGCTATCTTATGTTAAGACTGTTCTCTGGCCACTAGTTGCGCAATTCCTTTCCACGTGTGTCTATTTTCTGCAGTCTTCAGTGCTACCAATATAGGCACACCAGTGAGTAATGTCATCAGGTGATCGAGTACGTGGTCCTTTGAATTTAGATCTTTTAATATATCATCATATTCCCAATTTGATAGTAAAACAGTCTGTAAGCGATAAATAAATTACCATCGTTAACAAATACGAATATTTCTTACCGTATCTTCGCCTGCTCTAGATATAATCAACCCACCTCAAAACGTATTTATTTCCAAGAGCTATATTTATCGAACAAAATAAAAATGTCGAAGAGATTATTACCTTAGAAAGAAAATGTTCTTGCTATTTTTGGAATAGGCTCTTGGATCAGTTCCAAGTTTTACAACATTGAATTTGATTTGATTTAATATTGAAATTGCATTTTTTATATTCATTTTATTACATTTATGATCCAGTCTATGAAGTGTATTTTAATTTTACTGAATCTTGAAAGGCATTTTATTCAGAAGAAACCTAATTATTCCTAACGACTAGATGCATGGCGCACGAACCAAGATTTTTTTATTGCTTAGAGATTATTCAATAAAGAAACTACGAATGGCCCTTGGGATCTGATCACCGGCACAGCCGCGCGGGTTGAATGCACCGGGACATTACCAACAAACCAACTAATATTCAGTGGATAAACTAAGCACTAAGCACAATACTTTAATTTAGCAAGATCAAATATAAATCACTAGCGGATCGCTCCGGCTCCGCTCGGGTCTTTAACAAAAATTTCAACAATATTTGACGTTTTTCTTAATTTTTTAAATAAAAGAACATTTACTGCGGCATAACTATAATAGTTTTATTTTATTTTATTTTTTATTGCCTAGGTATGTGGACGAGCTCACAGCCCACCCTGGTGTTAAGTGGTTACTGGAACCCATAGACATCTACAACGTAAATGCACCTTGAGATATAAGTTCTAAGGTCTCAGTAAAGTTACGACGGCTGCCCCACCCTTCAAACCGAAACGCATTACTGCTTCACGGCAGAAATTGGTGGGGTGGTGTTACGTACCCGTGCGGACTCACAAAAGGTCCTACCACTAGTAATTACGCAAATTATAATTTTGCGGGTTTGATTTTTATTACACGATGTTATTCCTTCACCGTGAAAGACAATCGTGAACAATTGTCAAGTACGTATTTCAATAGAAAAATTGGTCCCTGCCTGCGGGATTCGAACACCGTTGCATCGCTATATACGACGCACCGGACGTCTTATCCTTTAGGCCACGACAACTTTTAAGTTAAGTTAGACATATTATTATGCTGTCGCGACATTATAGAATATTTTAAGTATTTTTTTTACACCTTGGGTTACATTATAGGAGTTTTAGTAAGGATCCCTAATTTTGTATAAAAAATAGTGTAGCTTCCAAACCATAAAAGAATTTTTCAAATCGGTTTAGAAGTTTCGGAGCCTATTCAATACAAACAATCAAACAAATCTTTCCTCTTTCTAATATTAGTATAGAAGTATAGATAATCAGGAATCTTCGTCACTACGACTGCGTCTGCTATTCCTTAACTTCAGATCCTCGCGGTGTCAGGTACATTTTCAGGCTCGCGCCCTTTAATGGTGTCCACGGTCATACAAGCACGTGCACCGCTAGCACTGCGCTTACAATCAAATCAAAATTAATATGTAGACTTTTCTCTCATCGTATAGGCCGACGTAATCTAATTACGATCTAATATAAACTAGATTGCAAACAGAGCAGGTTTGTATATCCATTGTCTAGTTACTGCGTTTTGACTCGTAATCCATCAATACACGCAGCCAGAGCGAACCTTACTCTATGAAGCATGCAAGGAAGATCCGACGCTAATTGGTAGCCAAGGGTCCCAGGAGCCGTCCGTATTATCGGATTATTGCTCACACAACATCCCCACATATTCGTATTGACTTCACTAGACTAAGAACACAATGTTAGTTATACAATACGGTCGCAATCGACAATAAGATTTTTTTTGACCAAAGGAGCAACCAAATGAGTAAAAAGCACCAGCATAGCCGTTTTCGTTGACATTAACAATGTCATCGTAAATTTCAAAAAACCTAGTCGTCAGAACCTATCCAACTGTGGCTACATGAGAAGCAAATTTAATCCGCTAAATCAGGAGTAATACTTGATTGGGTACAACTATTGTACTAATAATTATAGTCTTATCTAATTGTCACCTTCACTCACTGCAGTTTTCAGAAAATCTTCTTCGGACACATCATGCGGTCTCCCAAGCATGAATTAGTTTGATTCGCATAGAAGGCCAGCGCGCCATCGGTAAGAACACCAGCCACATGTCAGATCTGGTTAAGAAAGAGGTTGCTGGTAGTCTATATTATGCGGTTCATGCCATCTATGATCGAACACAGTGGAGGAAAGTCACATGTGGTTGCGATCCTCAGCAGTGAGGGAACAATGAAGAAGAGAGACCAAAAATCAGACTCCTTCCAGTCGGTACAGTAGCCGGAATCATTAATGCTTAGCCATTTGAAGAACGAGGCGATCAAACAGTAAAAAAAACCGAAATGAAATATAGAAATAGGAAAGTTTCTATCTAGCACAACGGCCATATAAAGCTGTATAACAATGGTGGAATCAATGAACTGACCTGAACCATCGCCCAAATCGGTCAGCATCATCCCATAGAAGGCTTCAGCAAAGCCGTCTGGAGATCGATCATAGGCACGGCTCTCTTGCTGACATGTTCGCCGCGAGGTTACACGGATCGTTACTGAGGCGGCCGCTGACGTTGATGGATCGTTCGTAACAACAGAACGTTTTTATTGCTCGAAATATTACCACTCTAATTATTACAATAGTTGGCACCTGCTCACTCTGAGAAGGCACATTACGTTTGTACAATTCTATAAAGAATTCGTGAGTCTCAAGGTTATGCCAGATGCCATTTAAGGGTGTGCAATGTATCAACTTGAAATTAAAAATCTTTAAGTTTTGTAATATAAGAAAAACAAATAATTAGATTCGATAGCAATTATTTAGTATCAGAGTGTCATAGTCGACGACACAACCTACATTCCACTCGTTCCGGTTCGAAGGGTGGTATAGCTAACATTCTAAAGTGACACTATACCTTTAAACTTTATGTCGCAAGGTACGTTACAGTAACTACTTAACACAAGATGAGTACTGCGTCCATTCGTCTTCGGTAGTCGCGAGTTGCAGACATAATTAAAATTATTTTTACTCTTTAATCTCCCGTTGGTAATTCTGATTATAATATTTCTGACCAACGCTGCCGGGTGACAAAATGCCGCAATCGCCACAGCACAAAAAAGTCTTACGCCCAAGGAAAATTCTAAATAAAATACATAGATATTATTGATCATTTTATACAGTTTTATTACAAAATTAATAATAAAAAATACTATGAAAATAGTACCTACGTACGTAAATATTACAGTAAGTCACTTCTTTTTGTATAAATTTTCCGTATTCATCACTTCGATCATTTTAGCCTCCAAAGGCTATCAGTATAGGGAGGGAAAAAAAAGTTTGCTCATCTTATCTGTTGATTTAAAATCGATGTAGTTTCCGGTGGCTCTTATCATTTGCTTTGCCAGTAAGGTTCCATTGACAGTTTCGTTGACCAAACTATTTCTAAGTTTAGTTTTATTAAATTGATTTCATTATACGCCCTTTCGCAATCAGCACTCAAGTGTGACAAGCATAACAGATTTAGTGCAAACTGCGCTAGAGATATGTATTCTTCAAAACATTGCTTGATTTCTCCCCAAAATTGGCCTGGGCTTAAATATTATCTTTAAATATATAAAATACTACCGAGCCGCCCTCTCTTGGCTTCGGAAACTGTAATTTATGATTGATTTCTCCACTATTTAATGGATGTTATTATACATATAAACCTTTCACTTCAATCACTCTGTCTATTAAAAAAACCGCATCAAAATCCATTGCGTAGTTTTAATGATTTAAGCATACATAGGGACACACAGATATAGGGACAGAGAAAGCGACTTTGTTTTATACTGTGTAGTGATAATATATCTTAAATATTAAAAGAAAGTTAAACAAATATCAACTCTATTTGTTTTGAAGGAATTCTTTCATGTATAGAAA